GGAGGCGGGGGGGGGGGGGGTACTCCGCCTCAGTATGTCTCCAGTAGGTGTTCTGGGGGCGGAGTGTGGGCGGGGCCATGCCTGGCAATGCCTTCCCCAGCCTAGGTCCCAGACACTCATGCTGGGGGTGATTGGCTGGCAGCCTGCACTGTGCAGCTGGATTATGGGAACAGCCTTAACGTGCCTGCGCACAGAATATTGATGGTCATGTGATCAACTTGCTTTTTACAAAACAAAAGTTCAGTCCGGTTCTTTGGCCCACTGATCTCCCTGGCAGTGGCTTCCATGAGCCGAGGACACGGCAGGCAGTCGTATTTCCTTCCTCGCACGGACTTTTATCTTCAGCAGAGCTGCTGATTCCATGGTCACTTGAAAGAAGCAAGGATGGGGCCAGGTGAAAAGCTGAGATCTCTTCCTGAGTTCAGATCATTTCACTTCCGCTAAGCTTCCTCCCCTCAGTCTTCAGAGTCATGGAAGTGAGGGCTGATTTCACCAGAGCTTTCCATATCTTGCTCCTCGCAGCACAGTAGCTAGCTGCACACTGGGGTCAGGTCAAGCACTCTGTACAGCAATGCAGAGATGAATATAGAGGAAGAGGACTGCTACATTAGGCACACAATAGGACCAAAACAGAGAGTACACGTGGTCTTGGGGGTCGAAAATAAGGTGGAAAAGTTGAGTATAGTTTTATTTTAGCTTTGCCACATTCTTGTCATTTATACAACTTTTTTCAAGGGCTAAAGAACTCCCAAAGAGTAGGTGTAATGATGGTTTAAAAACTGAACAGTCCTACTGAAGGGAACTTTGCAGTTCAGAATTGTGTTTGCTGTGGGTTGTGTCAGAACATTGCATGAGCCTTCCCACTGCTGACCAGCCTCCTGGAGCTCTGCACATTTAATAGCTTTGGGCAATATGGTTAACTGCATGTGAACAGCTGTTCTTCCTCTCTCGACTGCATGCCGTTTTCTAAAAGCAAGGCCAGGCCTTGGCAAAGCAGGAACTGAGCAGACTGTGCAATCATACACATTTCTCACCGCCACCATCCATTTGGAGAGACCATGCTCCATGAGGAGAGCGGAAGGTGGGCTTGGAGAATAGGGTTGTAATTGCCAGTGAGTATTTACTGCCCCAAATCCCATTTCCTCTCATTGAGAACTAGATGGAGAAGCTGCTGCAGGAGCTGGCCTGGCTTCCAGGCCCAGCATTGTCTGACAGAAGCACAGTTAGCAGGGGAGAGCGGCCAGAGCTGCTGGCTCCCCAGACACTCAGCCCCTCATTATTTACCTGAAAGAGCCCTGATGCGGCAGGTAGGATTTCTACTGACTGCCCCATGATGGGCACCATGAGTTTCCAGCCTCTGCTGCCTGTGTGTGGGTTGGGACAGTGTTTACAGAGAAGGGTTGAACAGCTATGGACGTGGGGGCTGAGCAGTCTGGTCTGTTGCCTCTGTTCCTTTGGAGAAGTGCACCCTTTGCTCAGCCTGCATCGCTCATGGTAACTAACCCTTTTGCTGCTGAGCTTTGTGGAACAGATCGTCCAGGGTACTTGGACCAGTCACCAGCACAGAGGGTGTCTTTGGCAAGTGGTTCCCAGATGCTTGAGTCAAAGAGGAAGGCCCTACAGTTGATGGGTCAAACACACCTAGATCCTCAGTGGATCAGGCTTGGGAGTGGGGAAATCATGCACTGACCAGCAGCAAGGCTGATACCATTTGATACTTGGAATCAAGCCACAGATAAACATTCTCTTCTCCTATCAGACTTATGTTCCTTCCCTAGGAATGTTGCATGAGTGGGAATGCCCCCTGTTTTCATGCCAGCTCCCAGCCCCCCATGCAAACACACCTTTAAGAACTTAGCCTGCGAATGTCAACATTGCCTAAAAGATTTGAAGTCCATTCCTCTGTTTTTAATAGGAAGTAGACACCCAAATCCCTTTGAAAACCTCCCAGCCTTAATTTGTTCTTATTGGTTTTAAATAGCTGCTTCATTTTCTTATAAGGTCCCTATGTGTTGGGTCCTGATTATGAATAAAAATGATCCCAGGCATTTCCATCTTTTTCTAAAGATGTGTTTCATAGAATCATAGGAAGCAGGACCAATCCCAGCTAAATCGTCCCAGCCAGGGCTTTGTCAAGCTGGGCCTTAAAAACCTCCAAGGAAGGAAATTCTACCACCTCCCCAGATAACCCATTCCAGTGCTTCACCAGGCTTTTAGTGACATAGTTTTCCCTAATAGCCAGCCCAGGCCTCCCCCAAAGAATATTGCTCTTCACCACAGGTGGGCCTTGAATATCTGAATTAGGAGGCCAACAATTTAGCTCATTAAGCCCCTGGAGCATGCTGTGCTGTGTATTTTCCTTTTCTCTTGCACTGTTGCTGCAGAGAAGAATGCTGTCTAAGAACTCCTATTTTCAAGCAAAATGCACTTGGAGAGTATGAGCCCTTAGCCCAAATGGCTTTGGGCAGTCATAGCGAGAGCATTCCTTGCCTGCTGGGGTAGTACTTGTGCTTCAGTATGGTTCTTCCTGGGTCCAGTTCATAGTTCTCTCTGCTGGCTCTGTTGTGTGATAATCTAACCACAGAGAAGTGTGCTCTGGAGGTTGCACACTTGAACAGGAAATGCCAGATGCTGTCTGTAAGGGCTGAGGTCCTAGTCTGGTAAACAGGCACCGTTGCCCAAAATGTTGGGAACTGCCATTCTGCAGAAGGATACAGTAGAAAGCAAGAGGAAAGGGCTCTGAAGGGGCTGTATCAGTGAAGCCTGAGTGAATAGTGGAGCTAATTGTATCAGACATGAAGGGAGCAGTGTTGCCACTTTTTACACGTATGTTTGGAGAAGTCTGTGATGTTTCTGCCCTCTCTTGTTTGTGCCAAACATTTCCAGAAAGCCAGACACTTTTCCCCTGTGCCACAGTCTGTCTGTTCCATGCTTTGCCAAGATGTTGGACTTAGAGTGACATAGGTTTGTGTGCTGAAATGTTGAGAATTAGGATCATGATCACACCTCGTTCATTTCCAGATTCCCTGCCAGACAGACCAGCTGTTGATAAAGTAGGCACTGTGTCTGTACAGGAAAAGCCAGCTCAGGATAGTGCTCAAAGTGAGAAGTCAGCAATGGATGAGAAGAAAAGAGCTGTCAAGAGTCCCCAATATATATCTGATGTCTCCGTGGATGATGTGGGCATTCCACTAAGGGTAAGAGACCAATGCCCATGCATGCAGGCACATGCTCAAAATAAAGACGGGGGCCAGATCCTGCCTTCATTTAGACCTATATAATTAAAACCAATGGAACTGCATGGGTATAGCTGAAAGTAAAATCTCACTCCCAATAAATTTATTTCAAAAGTCTTCCTAATGTTTCTAATGGCCTCTTCAGGTACTACAGGTAAAAGAATTTTCAAAACCTCATTGCACTTTTTGCTGGTTACGTGGATTTAGTTTACTCTCTCTTATTTTGCTTCATGTTGACATCTAAGGCCAAGGCTACACTACACCCAGAAGGTGGGCTTAAGGTACACAACTCCAGCTATGTAAATACCTCCAGCTGAGGCATCTGGTATTGGCCACTGTTGGCAGACAGGACTAGATGGACCTTTGGTCTGACCCAGTCTGGCCGTTCTTATGTTCTTAAATAACTTAGCTGGAGTCGACGTACCTTAAGCCGATCTTGGCACCATCTCCACAGTGGAAAGTCGATAGGAGAAACACTCACATCGACTTCAGGGGCCCCCCTCAGCATTTGATTTAGCACTAAATCGAACCCCAGAAGATCGACTGCCAGAGCATTGATCTTCTGGTAAGTGGAGACATGGCCTAAGTTAGGCTGGTCAGTTTCGCTTTTGCTGTCTAATGGCATAGGGCTGTGATGCTGAGCTTGGGTTCAGAACTCTCAGTGGGCTATGGAAAGGCTACATTACTTTGTAGGATCTAGCCTTAAATTTTCCCAAAATGATTTTCACTGAATTAAAAAAAAAAACTAAAAATGTTTGCATTGGTAATAGGGACTTAGTCCTGGCACTGGAAACACGCCCAGTTCCACAGGCATTTGAGATGTAGATCTGATGGTAGAACTGGGGTTCAGAACTTGTAAGTTATTAACTATACTAATGAACTACTATATAGAACATACCTTTGGAGGACATTTATTTATAAGGTATTTAGAGCATATTCCTAAAAAAATTACATCATATGAGACTACTCATGCACGTAGCTCCTTGAATTTCATGGGACTCTAGTACAAGTAAAGTTATTCATTTGCTGAAACACTTTCAAGAGCAAGCTGAGTTATTTAGTTCACTCTTGCTTATAGCTATTGAGTAATAATAAGTAAATAAAATATATAATAAAGGGTGCAAATGGCTTTGTTAAAATAACTTTAAAAATTTTAAATCTGGTGGAAGTCGGGGCAATGTTTTTTACTTACAAATATGTATTTTTAAACCAGAACACAGACAGATCAAAGGACTGGTACAAGACAATGTTCAAGCAGATCCACAGGCTAACTAAAGGTACTGTAACATGAATCATTTAATTTTTTTAAAGACTATCTGGAGAATGGTTTGTTTCATGTAGATGGAATATTGCCCTGGGTATTAAATAAAATATTTTGCATTTGCAGTCCGTTTTGCTCGGGAATATAAAAACCAGTTCACAAGTTTAGAGACAACAATATTAAGGAAAGAACCCAGTCAAGGCCAAGGGAAATGAGCTACTTTTAAAGGTTAACTGAAATAACTTTAACAAACACAATACTGACAAGGATAATTGTTTGTAACCCTAAGTCATTAGCTGTGTGGTGACTAGAAAAAGGCTGCACCACTCTGGCATATTTCAGAAAATCTCCAAAGGTAACAGAATGGTGGGCAGTGCTTGCATGAGAAGGGTGAGGGGCTCTTTTCCCACCTGTTCATTTGATGCTGCTCAAATGTTGGCCCCAAGTGGCATATTTCTTCCCAGGGGTGATTAGTCCAGAATTTCCAAATGAACATGTTTGGAAAGAGAAATGCCTGTTTTTAAATGTTGCTGTCAGAGCCGCAATTCACATTGCTCTGTGCCCCTTGCTACAGATAGAAAACATCAAAAACGCTTTCTCGTCTTTATTTAGCAATGCCATCAATTGGTGTTGGGAAGCAGGTCCCTGAACATCAGTCTTAGCAGATAGAGTGACATTAAAGTTGGCTTTTAAACAAGGAGAGGCCACCCTGTGAAGGTAGAGACAGTCTGCAATATAATTGGTAATGTTCCATTGCTTAATAACTTAGAGCCTCATCCAAACTCCATTATGTGAATGGAAAGACTCCCCTTAACTTCAGTGGACTCTGGATCAGACTGCTACTGCTGCTGAAATACTTTTGATCTCTTTGAAAAGCTAGCCTTAGGGAGAGCACTTATCTATTGGCTACCACATACCCTGCAGGAATCCTTGCTTTTCAGGAAGTGCGAAGTTCCAAGTCTCTCAGCCTTGAGAGAAAAGAGTGAGAGACTATTAGCAATTCAGCCGTGTACAAGGCCTGATGTACCTGCCAACACAATGCTGAGCTGGGCTTATGAAATAAAGCAGGGAGGATATCAAATAATGCCAGTTGGTTTGCATTTGTTGCCGCAGAGGCTATTTTGATGAGCTGACTAGTGAGTATGTACCCACGGCATGGTACCGGACGGAATGAGAGCTGCTCAAGCTGTGAGACATAGCCCCTGTGCGGCGGGCAGATTCTCCTTCGACTCAGATCATAGAGGCACATGCTTCAGTAGCAGAGGATGAGTTCAGTCAGTCCCTGCTGTCTCCCAAGCAGCCCAGAGGTGCTGCGCAGTGGTACCCACTGGCATGGCCACGGCTTTGTTCCATTGTAGACTCCGCATGGGAAGGATCGTTCCACAATTTCTGTGGATTTTTGCCTCACCTGGTCTTCTCTGCTAACCCTTTCCTTTCTGTGCTTTTTCCAAAACTTGCTTCTTCCACGTAGAAACTCCTGAAGAAAATCCTTATTGCCCTACCTACAAATTCCCTGAACTTCCTGAAATCCAGCCAGCACCCAAAGGTACCATAAGTTCAGCCCAAGTATCTCTTGTCTCGTATTTGAGTAACTTCACTGTAGCTAGATTACAGTGACTAGATTCAGGTACTAGATTTCCATTATCCATTTGTTACTCGTGGCAGAAATTCGAGTACACCTCATGTGCCTTAGTCTGTAATGTAGGACACCACTAAATCCTTCCTAACTAGTTAGTCTGTTGATAACAGATCTGCTGTTATCAAAATAGGCAATAAAAGTTTACAGAGATAGAAACTTAGAGAAACAATAGGGTGCCTCCACTTCATTGTGAGTAGTCTCAAAATACACTGCTTTTCTCTGCTGCAGAAGACAACCCTTATTGTCCTACATACCAGTTTCCTGCGTCTACTCCTAGTCCTATATCTGAAGGTAATAGTAAAGGACAAGAGACCTTTGTATGCTGCCCTCTCCATTTATCTTCTCCTGGAGCTTTTCCTAGCTGCTGAGTGTCTTGCTGCCTCCTAACAGTTTGGTGCCTCTGAGTTTTCCCATGATGATCTAATGTCTTTGTGGTGCTTTTCTGGCTTTTTCACTAGCCCTTGACTAATGCTACAAAACTGGGTTTTGCTTCGTTTCATGTGCCTAGTCAGCTGTACCTCCCATATGTGTGCAGTGGTTACTTAACATTGGTACAGTGCTGACTAACATCTCATTTTGATGGTGTGTCTTGAAAGATGGTTTTAACTGTGGTTTTATTTTTGAGAGCAATACATTTATTTAAATTGTTCTTAATGTTTTTAATATTAACACAGGATAGTGCCTGGCCCAAAAGTCACTGAAGCCCATTGGAAAGATTCCCCAAAGTTTCAATGATCTTTGGATCAGGCTGCTAGTGTCTCTCTCTTCCTTTTTTAATAAATGGGACTTTGCACATGTTGGTTTGCTCAAAGCTGCCCTTAGATGCCTAAGGACAAGATTTGGCATTCTCCTCAGCACACTTTGCCAGGAAATGCCCATGCCCCCTCGCTGACATTTTCTGTTCCTGACGGGTGGTTGTTCCAGCACTGCCCAGAACCTTTTCACCCTCACTCTCCAAGGAGCTTCTGCAGCAGCCAGTGCCGAAGAGACTGTCCTCTGCATGTGAGAAGCACAAGCATCCGCTGCGCCCGGCTGACACGGAGCCTGGATGGGCCAGGGGGAAAGTGTGGTTTGGGACTGGGAGCAATCAGTAGGGGTTTTCCAGGGCCCTTGACTGCTACAACATAGGAAAGGTGCCTATTTTGCCAGTGACTGGAGCTCTCCTTGGTAACATTATTAAATAATCATTCCAGTCCATGTTTATACAACACGTTGAAGGTCAGATATGGGTCCCTTATGTCAAAGCAGACAAGGGGAGTTAGACTCCCATCTCCTGTGAAAATGAATGGGGTACAGATACGTGGAGATGTGGGGATAAGAGACCATGCCCACCTTTGGTGCTTTGGGATGTGTGGACGAAAGTGCTATCTTACACAAGTGCAATGTATTTGATGTCTTAGTAGCAGAGATTTTGTCTGTCTGAGAGAGCGAGAGAGACTATGATAAGCTAATGAAATACTGTTATAGAGATTATTCAATGTTCTTGTTTCAGGATGCATTTTACTCTTGTCAGATCTTATGTATTTGGCCAGTTAGCACAGTCATTAATGCAATGGGACTTTTATTCCTGTAAATGTCTCCTGCTCATGTATAAATGCACAGATAAGCAATATGCTCATATTTAGCTCATCACAATATTATCCGTCTAAACATTTGTCCCTTGCTCTTGCTACTGTGCAAAGTGTGTTTGACTTTTAATATCTGCCTGGATCTTTCTTTCTTAGAGAAACCAAGAGAGGGCAAAATTGGGTCCATTCTGGCAGTTGTGGACTATTTAAAGTCTTTTGGAAGGTTTTCTAAATATGAAACAAAGTGTTTTAAGAGAGCTGGGACTACAGCCTCAGAATTCAAAACCAGGTTTCAAACAATCCAAGGTTCAGAGTTTTGGTGTAGACCATTATAGAGAGACAAGCCATTTGCAAAATTTTGATCTGGCTCTTACTTCAAACTCCTGCAAAGTGTGAGAAGTTCAGTCCCAGAGTTTTAGTTTGGATCCCACAAAGAACCACTACGCGTCTTATGGATCAATACAAATGACAAGGAAACGTCCTTGTCTCATAAAAGGAGTCCAATAGAGAAGTCATTAACTGGTGATTCCCAGCTCCCCTAAGGAAGGCCATATGCGTAGGGAAGCCTGGTTTCTGCTACCAGTTCTGCCAGAGAAACACTGTGCGATCTTTACCAAATCACTCAACTTCTCAGTCCTTCAGTGTTCCCCACAGCAAAAATGGGAAGAAATATGCTTATTCATCTCTCCAAAACAGTGGTTCCCAACCGCCAGTCCATGGACCAGTGGCGGCATGGGCGCCAGGTATGTAAGGCGGGGGAAGGCATAGCCTGCCCACACACACTTCACTCCCAGGCGCCTTCCTCTAGTGTTGGGGAGGCTGCAGTGAGCACATGCTTGCTCCCCTCCCTGTGGTTGGAAGCGGGGAGCATGTGCACAGCACGCCGCCCCACCTCCCAAGGGCAGGGCCTAGCAGAAGGGGCAAGGCTGAGGTGAAGCAAGCCCCCAACCCTGCCTTCACTGACTGCCCATGAGTGGCGGGCCGCAGACTGCTGCTTGCCGGGTGCAGAGCACAGTCAGGCCATGGCTCCGGCTGCTAATTGAGCCCTGCCCTCTGTAGGAGGTGTGTGCCCATTTCCCCACACAGCAGCACGGTGGCTGCCCCGGTGTTCTGCGACTGGAGCCAGAGCCACAGTCAGGCTGGGGCAGCCTCACCGTGACCCCAGTTCTATCTCTGGTGACCACTACGTGGCCCGTCTGCCAGGGCCACATGGAAAGTGGCTCTTCCGGCAGCCAGGGCCAGGTGGAGGGCGGGTGCTCCGGTGGCAAGGGCGGGGCTCTGTGGAGGGTGGCTGAAGAAAAGGAGAAGCTCCCGGGCACCCCAGGCCAGTCTCCTGCCTCCATGTCTTATCCTGTAGCTCCCGCCCCGCTTCTCATGCGGGAGATTAGACTGAGGAACCAGCCACCCCCTGAGATTGTTCTCCTACCGCCCGCATTGGTGCTGCCAGGCGCTCCCTCTTCCCTCCCCACTCGATGGGAGCCTCCCCCTGGCTTCCAGCTGCCTCCAGCTCAGCTGGCACGCACACACAGGGACCTGCTGCTGCCTGGTGAGGGGGTGAAGGGACAAGGCAGGAAAAGCTCTCCAAACCGGAGTCAGCGCCCCACCACTTTCAGTCCAGCTTCTCCCCGGCATGGTCCCCTCTTTCACTCACGCTTCTCGCCCCATCTCCCCTTTCCCTTCCCTTCTTCTCCCGGTTCCCTTATGTGCGTACAGATGCAATGTAAAATAGTACGCAACGGCTTAAGATGAATTACCATAATGAACATGTAAATATGCAAAAAAATTAATTTCCGTAATGAATATGCAAATGTTTCTATACCGGTCCACCAAACTTTTTGGATTGAGTTTGCTGGCCTGTAGTATAAGAAAGGTTGGGAACCACGGCTCCAAAACACCGAGATGCAGAGCGTCTCTTTCTTTCTCCCTCTCCCTCCCCCATGTGAAAAATGGGGATGGTGGAACTTCTTTTCTCCCACCCTTTTATGTACCTGGCCCATTGAGAGCCTACTATTTTTTTTTGCTACAAGAATATGCACCACCTAGCATAGTCCATGTTTATTTTGTATGCAGCACATTGTTAGTGCTCAGGAAATATTGTGTGTGTATTAATATATTTGAATTTCATGGGCTCATTAATAGAGGTCCAGTGACTGGAGCCTGTGACTGAATGTCAAGGACTGCTGGGTTCCATTTCCATCTCTGATTCTGGCCTTACCTTAGGCAGTTCATGTGAGCTCTCTGCCTCAGTTTGCCTCTCAGTTCTTGGTAACGTAGGTATATAAAACCTACCTCCTCACAAGGGCTTTGTGACTGACACTGAATAATAAAAGGTTGTAAAGCGCCTTGCGACCTGTATTGAAAGCTGCTAGAGAAGTGGAAAGAAATCATATTTACAGTTCATCTCAACGCCATTTTCTAAATGCGACTGCGCTGCTCAGAACCCTCTCTTTGTCATGGCACATTACTATGAGATTAAATGAGCAGAGAGGCCTCAAACTTTGCTTCTTAGCTCCTCTTTCATCTCATTTGCAAACTATTATGTTTTTCAGATGAGGATTCTGATTCTTACTCTCCTCATTATTCGTACTCTGAAGATCGTAAGTCATTTTTCATGTGCAACTTTATGCATGTGAATTAGCAGTAAGCATCACTTGTCTTGGCCTCCTGGGACATTTACCAAGTTTTTTGTATTTGCCTTTTTGCAGCAAGAGCCCAGCCCTCAGTGCCCCGGTCCAAGAGTGAAATGGACAGCATTGAACCTGACAGGTCTGTTAAGAGATCTGCTACTCTGCCACTTCCTACACGTACTTCATCACTGAAATCCAGCCCAGAAAGGTAATCCAAACTAGGGAGAAGTTTGGAAGTCCTCATGGGGGGGAACTCTGATGCAAAGCTTGGACCCGGGTTTGGAGCTGAACTTTCCCAGAGTCCCCAACAGTTTGTATCCGGAGTATAGCTAGGGGTTGTGCTATTCCTCTGATAGGTATTGAAACCCCAATGTGTTCCTTCATCATCCCAACCTACCCCCTCTGTTTGTCTGTCTCACCCACCTATCACATCCATGTTTTGTCCTGTAGCTCAGAGCCTGTGAGATGGGATCTGTTTCCTCTGGTCGTGTCTGTACAATTCCTAGCACAGCAAGTCTCGATTCTTGATTGTGGTCCCTAGTCATTGCATCATAATATAAATATCAACAAGTATCCAAAATGTCTCTAAACTTCCTGGCTGTGTCTAGACTGGCAAGTTTTTCTGCAAAATCAGATGATTTTGCGGAAAAACTTGCCAGCTGTCTACACTGGCCACTTGAATTTCCGCAAAAGCACTGACGATCTCATGTAAAATCGTCAGTGCTTTTCCGGAAATACTGTGCTGCTCCCGTTTGGGCAAAAGGGCCAGTGTAGACAGCACAGTAGTGTTTTCCGCAAAAAAGCACCGATTGCGAAAATGACGATTGGGGCTTTTTTGCGGAAAACCGCGTCTAGATTGGCCACGGATGCTTTTCCGCAAAAAGTGCTTTTGCGGAAAAGCATCCTGCCAATCTAGACGTGCTTTTCCAAAAATGCTTTTAACGGAAAACTTTTCCGTTAAAAGCATTTTCGGAAAATCATGCCAGTGTAGACGTAGCCCCTGGGTCTACAGAACTGAGCTAGAAGTCTCCTGAAAAAAGGCCCTTCTAAAGCCAGTCTGGACGTAGAAATCCAGAGACCAAATTAAAGGACTGTATCATCACACAAGTTGAAATGACAAGTAGTCCTGAAGGCAAAACCCACTTCCCCGTGATGCTGTATATATTTGTTGTTAGTTTCTAAGGTGCTACAGGACTCCTCACTGGTTTTAAAGTTACAAACTAACACAGCTGCCCCTCCAAGACTTTTAAACAAACTGAAATGGTTCTATTTAGCCCTCTCTTTACAGTCTCACAGCACAGTGGTGGCCAGCACCATGTGCCAGAATGCACTGTTTTTAAGATATGAGCTGGGACCTGTGGGATAAGTTCCCAGAGTGCATTGCACCTGAAATGTTCTGGATAATGCTAATGTGGATGTCAGGAGAACTTAACCCATCTCAGATGGCCAGTGTCAATGCCTGAACCATATGTGCTTACAAGCCAGTTCAGAACAACCGTATCAGTTCTGTAGCACAGGTGAGCCCTTAGAACCTCACTGCACAAGAAAGGTGGGCCCACATCATAGACATAAGCTCTAGCAGGATCACCAGATGCTTCATTCACCTGTGTGCCATAGGTACAGCCACTCGCAGCCAATGGGAGCTGCAGGATGTAGTGTCATGGTTCACACTGCTTCCTGCACCTCCCTTTAGCCGAGGACGGCAATCCACAACCAATGGGAGCTGCGAGTGGTCGCACCTGTGAACATTCAGGTAAACAAAGCATCTGGCATCCTGCATCTGGCCCTTGGGCCGATTATTGCCCAACCCTGCTCTAATGTATTTCCTGCAAGGAAAGATGCTTGAGTTTGTCAATTAATGAAAAAGAAAAGCAAGAAACCTTTACTGTCCTTTCAAGTGGCTTTTAGCAGCTGACACACATGCCCAAATTGAATTTTGGCTGCTATTAAAAAACAAACCCAAACCCCTCAGTCCTGTTCCTCTTCCAGCAAGTTTACTTCTTTAGATTAAAAGTTTCCCTGATTAAGCCCAAATTAACTATGGAAGGAGCTTGTCCAAGAATATGGAAAAAGCAGAGTTCTTGGCTCATTAGCTTCTCTTTCCTCAGGAATGATTGGGAACCCCCAGACAAGAAGGTGGATACCAGAAAATACAGGGCAGAACCCAAGAGCATTTATGAATATCAGCCAGGAAAGTCCTCTGTTCTGGACAATGAGAAGATGGTAATGTTCCTTTTATCCTGCTTCTTGACTTGGTGATTGCAATATGCTCCATGAGTGCTTGCATATTTCTATCTAGATAGGTTTCCTTATTCTTATATTGCCTACCTAATGCCATGCCAATGTATTTTGTTTTGCAAACGTTTGAGTAACTTCTTAACATTGTCTCTTCGCTAAAGGCAGATCCTTGGGAGGTGAGGGGCCTTACGTGGGGACATGTTGTTTTTCTGTGTTAAGTATGGCTCTCTAACCCTGGTTTTTAATCTGTGTTTGACTCCATGGCCTGTCTGGTGTCTGGTTTGGCAGCTGTGCTTATTTCTCAGGGACAGCGATAGTTTATTCCCTGGTGTGTGAGGCAGTTGTGCAGTGCAGCAAAGCACTGACTTGTGTTCAGAGCTTGTGTTCTGAGCTCAAAAGCCTGTAGGTATGAAAAGGGGTAACGTTGCCTGATAAGCATTGTCTTACCAGATAATGCTTACCACAGTAACCGGTGCCCTGGCTGGCCACAGCAGCCCCCTGCCTGGGGCACTGTATGGCGGGCTGGTTTACTGATTAGACATATTGCTTACTCCCATTTTAAACAGGATTTTACATCCCTAGCAGCTTGACTGAAATTAGCAGCAGGTTTCATATTGTGTTAAAGTCATCGTGGAAGTGCTAAAGTCTGGAGGAGTTTTTTGTTACAGATCTTTGGGTGCCCATGTTGTGATAATTCTTTGAGGGGTATTTTTGAAAGTTGCAGCTTAGAATGCTGATTGCTTGTGAGACTCCCAGGAG